CTCTTATTCCTTTTTAATACTACTACTACTAATAATAATGATAATAAAAAAGATTTGATATTTAATACTATTGTTCAAATCATCCCGCGGGCCGTATTGGACACCATAGTGGGCCATATTCGGCCCGCGGGCCGTATGTTTGACACCCCTGGGTTAAGATGTAATTATAAAGCCTTATACTGAGCAGAATGTCAGCAATGTCTTTCTGTTGGTAATAACAGAATAATCTTATTTATTACAGAGTTCTCACAGACTGACTTTACTCATGACTAATGAGGAGTGTGGAGAGTATGGTCATTTGAATTTGTGTATCAATTATGAGTATCGGGCAGTAAACGAGTGTGACAGCATGAACGTGAGCAGGAGAGGCTGTCTGGATAATATCCCAGAAGTTCTCCCTCTGATACCCAGCATTCTGGGGGGGCTGGGGGGGGGGGGGGGGGCGAGCCCCCGGCAGGCCCGGCACGCACCTCCACAATGGCCCTTTGTGAAGAGCGTCGTCAGACGACCTCCTGCCACAGTGAAGCCTCCTTTTTGGGGCCGTGGTGTATTTTTGGGACATCGCATGCCGGCAGAGTCCACGGTGTTCCTCCTCCTTAGTGGAGGCGGCAGCAGAACCCTGTGTGTCTCCTCTGGTCCCAGTCCAAAGATCTCAGTTACAGTTACTGGTTAATTCAACAGCAATCATTTATTACTGCATATAAAAGATATTACTTACTATTGAAAGTAATTTTAAATTCTCTTATGAAAGCTTACATTCCCAGACAGCACACATACATGGTTTAAGATCGGATTGTTGTTAAATGATCACGTTCCATCTAGTCCACTTAACACTATTTTGATTATACGTTAATGTGTTTTTCTGCAAGCAATTTTTTCCCCCAATAATTTTGCCTTAATCAGTTCAGCATAACTGATAGGTCTATTGATGCTGATTCTGTGATGTTGCCAATATTTAAAATAATGCATAACTTTTAATCAGTTAAATTGTTTGTTTGGTGTATGGTTTTAAAACAGTATGCCTACGTCTGAGGAAAACAGAACAATTCTACTCTATATTGGTTACATATATATAGTATAGCCCTATTATGGGTTATATAGCTTAATCACAAATAGTAATCACATTTTCATCGTGTTGCTGTTGAAATACATCGGACAGACAGACTCAGTGTCATTTTAGTCGGCCGGCCATCTAGACGAGCATCACCTTCCCGGTGTGGCAGGGGCCAACGCAGTGGCTGAATGGCAGCATTGTGACGTCACAGCGATCCCGGCTGCGCTATGAAGTGAGACACTCGCTGTTGGCGGCGGAATGTGAGAATAACAGAGGTCTGTACGAGAGCCTCTCACACCCCCTGTTTCCGAGTGGTACGGGGCCAGAAGGGCACGGGGGGCAGGGAGAAGCGGCACCAGCTCTGACCTCCAGCGATCCCCATTGTGTGGGAGATGCTTCGGCAGAGCTGCCTGTGTGGGAAATGGCCGGGGTACAGCCTGGCCGTGCCGTGGAGGAGAAGAGCGGAGATCGGGCAGCATGTCACCAGCAGATTAAATAAGACCATCTGCCTGTGCATGGTCAGGAAAACCGCCTGGCACGTTTGTCACACGAGATACGGGTCGCGTTCGACCGATGGCTGCAGCTCTTCTCAGAGTGTCAGGTTTTAAGGGTCAGACTGAGAGCGGCTGCGAGAGAGAGAGAGAGAGAGAGAGAGAGATATTGTACTGTATCGCCGAATCGCAGCAGGGACTGGCTGCGATGAACAGGATGCATCTCCCCAGTCTTCGGCCACATCAGATAAGCTCCTTCCTTCATGCGGAGCTGCAATGGTGTGAAGAGCCTAACAGGAAATGGGGAATTCCTATCAAAACACTGACTAATCCTCCACGCTGAGAGGCAGAGGTAGCAGGACGCAATCCCAGTTCCTCGCTGACCCCTACTTCCATGCCTATTTGGTTTTAGCCAGCTAATCAGGGGTGACCTTTTGTCTGGCTTATCTGTACTGAGACCAGGTGTATCCTCCTACAGCAGAGCGTTTTGATTCCTCCTTCGGGAGAAGCCGGAGGTGGGAGGTAGGGTGCTTCGTGGCTTGGCATTGCGGTTGAGGGGCAGCCATCCCCGTGCTGCGTTGACTTTGCTTTCCAGTGCCGTCGTGTCTGTTGTCATGACTGGAAGTAATGGGAAGACTTTAGACTCCTTGGGTTACTTTCAGGGTCTGTGTTGCTGTCCAGTATAAACGAAAGCTGGGAAGGATAAACAGAGGAGGCTTTTGTTTGCCTAACTGACTGGCAGCCCATGTAACAAGGTCAGGTCACAGAACCTGAGCATCTCTCAGTCCTGAAGGACATGTCTTGAGTTGTTAAGGACCTGGACATGCTGTGCTCTCAGATCCATTCAGACGGACCCCTGTCACCAAGGTCACTGCTCAGTCTCACAAACTCTTGATTAGAATAGCTACGCACACCAAAAAACCTCAGGCATAGGTGATTTTCATTGCCTTTTTTAATGTTTTTGCCAAACATGTTTTATCTGGTTTTAAAGTTAACAAGAACAATAGCTCCCATCCAAACATCTGAACTTCATCAGGTTTATTAAGGGAACAAACCAATGTTTACAACATGGGCACTCGGATAGCGGCCTAATATGTAAGTCCGTTCAGGACGTGCCTGACTTGAGACCTACCTCCTGCTACTGAGCAATGTAACACAGGCCAGCTCGGACATAAACAAAGGCGATCATAATGAGAGAGGCAGAGTAAAGTCTGACGTCCTTTCATTTTCATATCTGATGAGACTGAGAGCGGATTTCCCAGGGAAGGCCCTGTTCATTGTATGCGTGAAAGCAGCACCTGTTCCTCCAGCGAGGAGTGCCAACTCCAGACGGCCGAGGGGAAAACTGGAGTCCGGAGGAACAGCTCTGCCTGGAGATTAGATTACGGAAAACAATGAGGTCTGGAAATGACAAGGTCAGGGGTGAGCATCAAAGAGCAGCGATGGAGAACTCTCACTAGCGGCCTCGGCGTCGGAGCGCCGACGTCACGCTGATGTCACCCCCTCCGCCGGGCCTGATCTCTTAGCGGCCTCTCGGGTTACACACCCAGCGGACGGCCCCTTCTCACAAGCGAATGGATTGCCTTGTGTGGTCAGTTGTAGACTAGCCCTGAATAATTTAGCAAACAGGCAGGGAGCTGGTAGAGGACAGAGTATTGGCTGGGGTGAGGTGTTTTCTTTCTTGACAAATGAGGAGACGACTGACTCTCCGCCTCCCCCCCCCCGGCTGAGACGTCATGTGACCACCGGGAGATCCCTCTGCGCCACAGTCACGTGACTGACTAGAAATGTTCTCCCCCACCAGATCCTGCTTCCCAGAAGAGGCGCTGCGCTGAGGTCCGGCAAAGCTGTCCCTAACTGTGTCCCTGATCCGTTCATTGTGGGGGGGGGGGGGGGGTGGCGTGAGACTTGGACACAGCACTTACCGGAAGACCATTCCCTGAAGAAAATTCCCTACCCCAGACCTCCTTAATGATCATCACGGTTATTTATTAGCTATCTGTTATGGGCTAATGCTCCGTGTCAGGTGACACGCGACCTGTTGAGCGATGGGAAGGCAAGGTGACCCTGGGGAAGCCTGAATGAGTTAGTAGACCTAACCACCACCTAGCTCATGACATCTCAAGGATGCTAAGTGCTAGCCCGCTAGCCTGCCGGTGGCTTATAAATCTGAGAGCAGCTGTGGCTTTGGTAATTCCTACAGCGAGTTTCAGGGGACCCCGCCCACGTGCGCTTTTCAGTTGACTTAACTTATAGTAAGGCACTGTAGGGGATAAAACTCTATCTAAGTCGTGATAACACAACTGCCACAAATGCCCGGGGTTACCCTCTGTGAAAACGCTGCATTATTGAAGTCTCATGTACGGTGCTATATCACAGAGACAATTTAATCACAGGGTTAGTTAAATCTTAAAAATATGCTGGGCTGGTGTCCTTTTATGGTCATAAACTATACTCTGTGTGTTGCATACTAGGTATTTTTTAATATATGGGGGCTCCCCTCGTGGGTGGGAGCGACGGTAAAAGTTGTGGACGGGGGGGCGGAGCTGTGGTGACGGTAAATTTTTCTCTTATGGGGGTCGCCCCAGATCCGCCTCAGTTCAGACAATGGTTTTATTAAATAATTGAATGATTGAATGAAATATAAATGAACATGTGTGATTTTCTGAATTCTTCACGGAATAATTTTAAGAGGAAATAAGACACAATGCATTTCTCCCATCTGTCTTCTGACGGCTTAGTCTGGACAGTGCTGCTGTTAGGGGGGGTCGGGTTGCAGCCCCTCCCAGCCAGCACAGGGTGTTGAGGTGAAGCCATGGATGGGACATCAGTCCATCACTGGACACACACCTTCTGGATATGAGGAGCCTCAGTAAGGAATAGCTAGCATGCCGCTTCACTTTTCATTTTAGATCGTATGTAAAGTTATTGATGCATTGCTTTTTATTTTTTTATTGTCTTATTTTACATTTTCATTACATTTGCATTTTACATGTTTAGCAGGTCCTTTTAAGTGAAGCATGTAGCACGTTACAAGCATACAGCTGTTGAGGAGTCTGCTAGGAGTAAGTACAGCTAGGCTGAGCTTACAGTGAATGCTTAGGTATAAGCTGCAGAAGCTTTGGGGCGGTGTGTGGCTTAGGGGGGTAAACCCCCGTTTGGCCAGATAACCACATGTCTGTGGGCCCTTGAGAAAGACCCTTAACCCCCACAGCTCCATGGGCACCGCTGCAGGTGGCTGCCCTTCACTGCCAAGCTTGCTCTCACCTACATATGTGTCTGTGTATCATGGAGAGCAAGATGGGGTAGGCGAAAAGAGAATTTCCCCACGGGGATTAACAAAAGTATCATTATTGGAGCAGGACTACACAACAGTTTCCAACACAGCAAGAGCTGAATAGGACAACTATTCAAATCAGCAGAAAGTGCAACAAGCTTGGCGCAGTTGTTCCTGGATCAGATGGGTCTTGAGGTGTTTCTTGAAGGTAGACACCTTGATGACTGGACATGGTTTGGCAGCTCGTTTTACCACCAGGGAACCATCTGCAGTGGAAGGAGCTCCTAGCAGCATTTATTTGCTTTTTGATGGATTTCATTGTTAGCCACATAAAGGTTAAAATGCGCAGTAAATTCTTGTCATCACAGCGCGAATGTACACACAAAAAATACGCGTTTGCGTTGCTGTAAGAAATTGCTGCATATATTGCTTTGCATGGCGAATGCGTACTTACATGTGTACCAGTTATGTACTAACAACCATTGGTAATGCTCGTTACCATTACAGTACTTTAAGTACAAATTGTATTGTATTATATAGTCGCCTATATAATATTTATGTAGTAATGGCATGCGAATGGATGGACGTTAGCGAATGACAGCAGGCAGGTGCTGGTGCGTTTTTCAGAAATACACCGAAATTAAACTTTTGCCGCATTATTTACAGACACTTTTAACACCAACACCAGTGGCCATTAACTCTTAAACCTGAAATAACTGCATTAAAATGAAGCAACAATGTGATTTCGATACATTATTTTTTACTTAACAGTTCCTTCCCCCCCATTCCTCTGTCTGCTCACTGATGCCAAATAAAAAGTAACTTACAGATGCTAAATTTTCAAACCTAGACAGATACAACACAAAGTAACTGTTTGAATAGTAAGTACATGTTTTATTGTAATGCTCATATCTTATCTCATCTTATTTTATCCTATCCTGTGTTATTCTATCTTAGCTTAACCTATCCTATCTCGACATTAACGCTTAAACAGCATCTCCACTAATCCTCCATCCCCAGCCACAGCCCATCAGTCCATGAATCTTTGCTAGGACCTGCTGCTCCGCAGATTGCAGAGGCTGTCCCTGGCCTCTCTCGGCTCGCAGAGGGCAGGAGCCATTGACGTCCGTGCCTCGTCTTCCACGGGGCTCCCGCTTCCTCCCTGGGTGGTGGCTTGCCCCTCCCGCTTCTTGGGCGATCCCTTTGGATGTGTCGATTAGCTTAACTTCTTTGCACTCCATATTTTTTATTTTTTTTTAGATGTTTAGACTCTTCAAAATACAGCCACTCGCTAAAATGCACGAAAGAAGTATGAAAACAGAAGTACAAGTGATTCAAAAGTAATCAAGCTGTTGTCACGGAAGCCCATTCATATCATAACAAACAATAACATCCTACACAGGTCGTTGTTGACTTATGACCTCGATCGGTTCCGTGACGTGTCACCATCAACGTTGTGATGTAAGATGTGTGTTTGTTAGGTATGGTTCAGGGGTGCAACGGATCACAAAACTCACAGTTCGTATCACGGTATATGAGTCACGGATAGGATCATGTTTCATATCAGCAAAAAATGTGACAAACTTAACTTTGCTTTCCATTTATTATTTAAAGAATGGAAAGAAAACTCAAAACAATCTATTTTTTCAATGTAATAAAAACAGTACATTGATAGTCAGAATGTCTGAGGTCTTGGATGGACCAATGTGGACTGACTTTGTCCCTCTATCAGCCCCTAAGCCTCCACTGTGTTGGACTCAGATAACTTGTCTGCCTGGCTGTGTCGTCCTGTCCGTCCATCGCCCCTGGCCGCTGACCCCACTGTGGGTGTAATTGGCTTTGTGTAGCTTCTGTGTTCGTCGGCAAGAGCCAGAAAATTAATGTTTCTGCAAATGACCCGTTTGTCAAGGACGCTAAGTGGCATTCAGTAATCCGTGCAGGACTCAAGGACATCGAGCAGAGAAACAGGACAGATTTATGATAATTATGCAGAGAGCGGCCCGAAATCCTGTCTGAGCTGCTGTGTCTTTCAGTTATAGGGAAGCAAGTAAAGACGATGCCAGCAAGATCTGCCTTACTGAAGGTATTCTGTAGCATTTTGATGCTGCTTAATATATCATACCAAGATTTCCTCCAGAAGGAGATGCGTAATCATCTTCCCACAGCCCTCATCGTCATCATATAAAATGCAGGATTAATGAAATTTAAAAAGATATCTTTTTATGAGAAGTCAATCTCTCAAAGTAAGCAAACAAAATCATTCCAATACACACATTTTGACAGCACGCTTCTGCTAAAACGGGGCCATGTTTTCTTGACACTAATATATCGGGAGCTCAGTAAATGGACAAGCCATGTAAACTGAAGATGATGAAGGTCCGGAATGAGACTCCCAGGCCGTCTCATTGAGCTCTGGGCTTTGCTGGTAATGCATGCAGTGTTGACTCATCATTCTGTCACCACATTCCTGGAACTGAGACCCCAGGTGCTGGTGGCTGTCTGGAATATCTGCAGTACCATCACTGCCAGGCAAAGGTCCCCGTCAGAGTGAATCAGCAGGGTAAGGTGATGGCAGATAGCAGTACGCTGAAGCCCGATCATCGCAAGGGCAGTAAGGCGGCACAAGCGTGACAGAGACATGAGTCCAGGGTATGTTCAGTGGTAGAGAATGCCAGCACCAACCCCAACATACTGGGCTCTGAAATGTGACGGAGATGGATGGATGGATGGAACACACCTAAATATCAGTCCAGTCAATGCACAAAAATATGTATGCCGCAAAAAGTAAATTAATAGTAGAGTAAATGAATTCTGCTGATGAACCTGGTTTAACTGAAGTCTGCAGAGTGACAGTACTTTTTGGGGTGTGAGAAACAAAGTCTACTATATATTATTCTAAAATAATAAATACTCTTAAATAAAATGCCATTTGAGACATTTAAGGAAATGGAAGGTATAAATGCATAAATAGCAATAACAAGTTTGTTCATTTCTAAAAAAAGAATCGGTCCCCGCAGTGGCATGGCACGTGTGTGCCTGTAGGGGACTCCCTGGCCTGTGTCCTGCCCTTCCCGGGATGAGCTCCAGGCTGGCTGTGTCCCTGCCTCAGATGGGGTCTGCGGATGATGGATGGACAGATGATTTGTTGATGAGGTGATTAAAGGTAAAGGTGACACTAAATAAAAGGTTGTGGTTTTATATAATTCAAGGTTGTTACTCATGTTACAAACAACAAATGTTTTTGACAGCAGATGAATCATCCATCGATCCATCTTCCGAATGTTTATCCTGAGCAGGGTTACGGGGGTGGGTCTGGACCCTATCCCAGACTGCACAGGGCACACGGCTAGGGGCACCCAGGACAGCATGCCAGTCCATAACAGGGAAAACACACACTACATGAAATCAGGGAATCCAATTAGCCTAATCAATGTCCTTGTGGGAGGAAACTTGCGTGACACATGAGAAAATGAGAGAGCATTCAAAATCTACACGCACTGAGCAGAAACGAGATTTAACGGCCAACTCTGGAGGTGCGAAGCAACAATGTTACCTACTGAGTCATCATGCCACCCAGAACAATGAATCAGAGCAAAACTTAGAGAAGATCCAATGGAACCAGGGTAAAAATTCAGTTATGATGTATTTTTTGCTGCTGTGCAGTCATGTCAGAATGTACATTTTATTTTTCCGTCCATAAATGTTTATTCAGTGTAGCGTGAGCAATTAAAGATGGAAACCTGCATCAACACTGGGAGAACTTAGGAGAAAACTCCGCACAGAAGCCAAGAAGTGGGATTCGAGTCTATGATCTTTGGAAGTAGGAGGCAAGTAAGTGGCTTTCACAGACAGTGTTATGATATTCATGCACAAAGGGCCCCGTTAATTAAAATCCACAGACCCAGACCTGCGGGTGAAGCTGGTGGGGGGGGGGGTGTTTCATCCACCTCGTTGTTGACACCCACTCCACCGGGAAGGTCTGCAGCAGCTTTCCGCAACTCTGGCCAGCTGCTGGGTCCCAAACACAACACTGAACTCTTTGTGGCTGTTCCAACATCTGTATTCATTACAGCACACATACACTAATCAGCATCTCCTCCCTTCCTGGGTTTGTGGACATGCCGCCATTCACTCTCGAACCTGGGTATGTAATCACAGCAGCACCACCAGGACACAGGGTCTTGCCTCTATAACTTCCCACAGCCTCATTTGTCGTTTTTTTGCTGGCTGACACAAAACACCAGACTGTTCCCATCGCTGCTGTTTTGTTCCTTAGTTGATAACTTTCCTAATGTCACCTGCAGTCTTTCCATTGGTCCATTTTGACAGCTGGATATTGTACTGGAGCAGTCCAGATTGAGAACTGGGCTTAAGGACACATACAGCAGGTCCTTTCCTGTGGAGTGGAACTAACAACATCCAGTTCTCAAGGACGTGCCCCTGTAGCGTACTGTTACATATTTACAAAGACGATTACATGATTTGGGCAGGATATGTTCTGTGAGCTGTGGGTTTTCAGGGTTTTTCTGTGAATTTCCCAGCTTCTTAATGTGGCATTTTCTCTGTGAATGTCCAGCACAGCTTCAGAAACAGCATTTTTCAGGCAGCTGTATTTTCACACTTGGCTCAAACATCTTTGTGCAGAAAAGCTTGTTTACTATAAAAATCTGCCAAACAGCTGGTACCAAATGACCCTTTTTTTTTCCTCAGCCGTAGTCAGCATGGGGCGGCAGGTGCATTAAAAGCCAGCATTACGTAACATTTTCCATCTTATCCCTTTTAGTTCCTGTTCTTTCCGATTTCCCAACAAAAGCACAAGACAACATTGAAACTTCCTGCTTTCGAAGCTCTCAGAGGGCAATATACTGGAAACACACATGGGCCGGGGGTGGATGGGTCAGCAGGCGAGTTGGGCTTGTGACCCCTCGTTGCTCGGCAACACAAGACCCTGACGCTGTTGGTGCATTTCAGTGACGCCAGCCGAAGTTTTTACAGACTCCTCATGGTGGCAGATGGAGGAAAGCAGGGAACAAGGAACTTCTGGGTGTTTTACAGCCATCTAGGGAAGGTGTCTGGGCAGTTTCTGAAAGAAAGACCAGAAGCAGTTAGGACATCCTGCACTGATGTTTTTCTGGATGAGGCCTGACTTCAAAAGATAAGACTCACCGCCAAACACAACAAATATTCCCTCAGCAAAACATGGAAGAGGAAAAAAAAAGCTTACCTAAAAGAGCCTCCGGTTTCATGTAGGACTGTTTAAAAACAAATGGCCCATTTATGACTTCCCTTCCATGGGAACAGAGAAGTCCCGGCATCTGTGATTGCTCTCTGAGATCAAAAATAAGCCCTTATTATTAAATTGGTGCACTTGGCAGTCTTTTGCGCAATATGGCAGCCGTGCTGTGACATCTCAGTCAGGTCCAGTCCTTCTTCACTGGACGGGAATGCCTGGCACGCTCCGAGGAAAGCCCTCATTGGCGGCTGGAGTGCGCATCGTCGTGGATACGCAGGGAAGCCCCGCCATGTCAGGCCATGTGACTCCCACCGGGTGGCCTGATTGCAGGGCACTGAAGGACAGATGAAAGAATGGGCGGTAGACCCGGCTCACAGACAAAACCACCGTAGCTATATTTACCCGGGGCAGTGCTGCCAGTGGAGATGATCACAAGAAAGGTACTGCAAACCACTGGCAGTGGTCACTGACAGCATCTGCTACAGAGAACTGGATTATCGGATCCCATGAAAGGCACATTCTGCACTGCGGATGATAGGCTGAAATTTCCCTTTATTTGGACATAACATACACAACAACCATCTATCCCAAGTTCAATATTCTAATAAACACCATTAATAGCCTCACCTATCCAGCTCAATATGGCGTAGACATACTGGGCACGATTTACTTGTCGTAAATTACATGTGATGTAATACTGCAATAAAATTTTTTCTTCATATTGTTTATATGAAGACTTAATAAAATGCAGATTATTGCATAAATAAAACAGCAAATAAAGTGTGGCATGTTCTGAAAACTACAACTGTAAAATTAAGAAAATAAATGCCCTCATGTAACCAAGACAGAACGTTCTGGAAAAATGGTGTCTATATGGCTGCCAAGAGTCTACACTGACCCAATGGCACATAATAATAATAATACACATTATATGGCTAAATGAATACATAATCGTACACTATCAGTCAAAATTTTTTGTACAGACTAAGATTTTCGGCATTTGCGCGTTTCTCAATTAACGTTTACTAAAAAAATACTCTTTGCTCAAATATTCTTTGCGAACAGATACATTTACAGTATTTTCACCATTTGAATAGCTTTATTAGCAAGAAAATATCATAGCTTTGATTCATCGATGTAACCTCATCTAGCAGTTATAACAACTGAGGAAATCTGAGGCGTTCTTTCTACAAGGGACATTAAATGAAACAGTTTGACTGCCATCACCACACAAGCAGTTAATAGGATGTCAGGCATGCAGTTAAATACTCTTTCCATGTTATAAGGGAAACTTGTTTTATTTGACTTATATTTTCATTTATAGTTGTTCACTCAACTTTCCAATGCTTAACAAGAATACAAAAATCTGGAGTTTATGAAATAAATTGAAAAGTGGTAAAAACCTGTGGTGTGCAAATCTTTTGACTGGTAGCGTAAATGTATAATTCAATGGTAACTTACCAATGTTCATGCCAGTGCCTCATTTTAATATTTGGTGGATTCATTTAATGCTCCAAGCTGCCAATGTCACTATGATGGTTCATGATAATGGTTGAGTCGTGTTTTACTTAATTTCATTCTGACCTTTGGTTCAAATGGAACTGACCCGAAATGTCAGTCTGTACCACAGAAAAGAGAAAACAAAGGCATCAATTTTCTTAGCAACAAAAACAAAGCCAGCGCTAGTACTTTTACGATTTGTGTTCTTTGGCCATACGGGGTTAATGTCAAACTGTCAGCAAAACGAATGAAAATGTAGCTTATGTACATTACATGCCATCTGATTAGAGCATAATTTAGCCTTAAATGCTTCACCAAAGACAAACACATGCTTTATTAAACTAAACATATTACCCAACTTGAATGTTATGATGTCAGGATGTCTACTTGGATGTCAAACACACATGTGTTTGATGTCTTTGGTTCACACTGGATTATCTGTGCACACACACGCATGCATACCGTACCCCTGCCTAGTCTGCAATTCAGCCAGAACATCATAGCAGCCTGTTCATGGGCTACAGACACTTTAAATATGGACGAGAGAGTAGGTTTGGCTTCAACACTGGAAGGGGCCAAATCAGCCCCCGCCCCAAACATACATGGTACTCCCACAATATTGGTAGGGACATGTCTACCATCTATCTATACCCCAATCTGCACCTTCGATTTTGAATGCTGAGTTTTGCCACATTGCTGTCGGCTTGTCTTGATATCCCACAATCCCTCTGAAGAAAGAATCAGCACAGATATAGCTCAGATAGAGTACAGAAGTGGATTCAAACCAACACCATATAGATACAGCACTGCTGGGACATCCAGCAGAAATACCATGACTTATGAAGTATCCTCGTCAGCCCGGGAGGGGATTTCTGAGGCTAAATTCATACCCAAACCAGCAAACTGTCGTGTGATGGGTGCGGCAAATGCGCCGTACCAGTGCATGTTCCCCAACCTGACCTGACTATGTCATGTTAGCTATTATTGCATCTAATCTTAGACTGGGATTATTAGTGATGTACCAGTAGTGGTCCCATTCAGTTTGTACCCCTGCCCAGTGCCCTGACATGCCTGGGACAAGCCCCCTGTGAAACGGACCAGGACAGGCAGTTGTAAGATGGATAGATGGTTATTAGTTGTAGCAATTTACGTTTTAGAGCCTTTGAAATTAAATGCTGTTTACAAAACTCTAGCTTTCCAGACTTAGACTGCACAGTAATATCTGCGTTCATGGATTAAATTAAGTTGTATTTGCAGCTGATTTACCTATAAAATATCACACAAATTTCTGGATATGGCTTCTCACACTTTATGCCTGAATATCATATCGCTAAGTTGTAAGGAAGCACAGGAAAGACTTGCAGCATATAAATACCGGCAGCGTATCATTTTATTAGAGTATGGAAGCCGCTTAAGACACCGACAGCCGGTAAATCCGCGCCGTACTCCGCTGGCCTCGCCTAAGTTCAGCTGCCACGGTTTCTTTTCCGCTTTAGTTATCTCCACTGCTTTCCCTGCTCATTTCAGCCCGCCCCGAGTTGTGAGGAATAAGTATTAAGTATTTGTGAGATTCTCCGTAAGCCTCTTAATCTGCAATCTCCTCTTACAAGAGGAGTCGCTGCTCTGCGGACATCAGCGGCGTCCCTGGCTTTCGCGGACATCTGCTCCATGTCTGTTATACCCCTGCACTGTGCTTGTTCCATGCGTCACTCTCATTTTACTGCAATTGCCCCATGGTTTCACAGCACTACGTACCAGGGACACTGTGCACATTACACCTTAATTGTCGTATTTCCTATATTCATTCTTTTTATTTATTTTATACCTATTTCTTTTATGTATACTATACTCACCCAATTGTTCCTGTTTCAGCCATTAATCTATTTATTTCATATATATTACATAAATACAAAACATATATTACATCTCTACAGTAATCTACATAGTCTGCCTTGATGTTTTGTGAGTGACTTTGTCTTGTTTTCTGCTGCATAATCCTGTTATATGTTACTGACAGTGTGTGATGTAGAAAATGCAAATAATCTTGTATACTGAACAAACCATGAGTTTCCTAAATCATTAGGCCTATTACATGCAGACACTTTGAAGAACACTGTATCACACAGAAACCTTATGCTTTTATACTTCACCCGTTTATGCAATTTATATCCTGATGGTGATAATTTAGTGTGATTAAAATCAAAGAGCTATTGACCTGCTGAGTTTCAGGATGGTCCAGATCAGCGTAAAACGCCGTCGAGAGGACGAGCCCCATGGCGCCGTGACGCATGACTTGCTTCCATTAGCGTGTCTCTGCTTTGCTGCTTCCCCGCTGATGAAATAGTTTGCATATCTCTATTTTTTTCAAATTTATAAAGGATGACAGGTCGGCGTTCATAAGTATTGTGCAATGAAGCCAGCTGAAAGCAGGAAACGGAACCTGTTTTATTTTGCCTTGTGCACATCTCTCTCTTACAGGAGCCACTTTCCACCACATGAATTAAAAAACAAAAACCACAAAAGTTTTTTTATATGCAATTATGATGGTAAATATTTATGTTGTCATATTAACAGTTACTGATCTTTGTCTGTGAAACGACTTAACACATGCATCAGATTTGTCTTGCTGAGTTTTGCTTATAACATAGACCTATCCTTATCATGAGAACATAAGAAATTTACAAACGACAGGAGGCCATTCGGCCCATCAAGCTCGTTTGGGGAGAACTTAACTAATAGCTCAGAGTTGTTAAAATCTTATCTAGCTCTGATTTAAAGGAACCCAGGGTTTTAGCTTGCACTACATGAACAGGAAGACTATTCCATACTCCAACTACACGCTGTGTAAAGAAGTGCTTCCTCAAATTCATTTTTAAATGTTCTCCCACTAATTCCCACTTATGGCCACGAGTTCTACCATTTAAACTAATATTGGAATAGCCATTTGGCTGAACAGCATCCAGACCTGTTAGAATCTTATAGACCTGGATCATGTCCCCCCTTAGTCTCCTTTGCTCGAGGCTGAACAGATTCAGCTCAGCTAACCTCTCCTCATAAGACATTCTTCTAAGACCAGGAATCATTCTCATAGCCCTCCGTTGCACTTTTTCTAAGGCAGCAATGTCCTTCTTAAGGTATGGTGACCAAACCTGCACACAATATTCTAGGTGGGGTATTACCAATTAATTATATAATCATATCAGTCCATTATCATTTTTTAAATACTAGTAATGTCTTCCGGGTAGTGAACATGGTGACAAGCACAGGAAAAGCACAAAAATGGCATTCATTGATTTGTGCCAGCCACACAACCAATTACATGCTGTCCACCATGCTGGCCCCCTGACTACTTACACGCCACATGGTGGGCGCACACACATACACACACACACACACATGGTGGACCTGAGAGTGATGGGCCTGAGAGCGGCGGGCCTGAGAGTGAAGGGCCTGAGAGTGTTGGCCCTGAGAGCAACAGGCCTGAGGGCGGCGGACCTGAGAGTGATGGGCCTGAGAGTGAAGGGCCTGAAGGCGGGCCTGAGAGCGGCGGGCCTGAGAGTGGCAGGCCTGAGGGCGGCGGACCTGAGAGTGATGGGCCTGAGAGTGACAGGCCTGAGAGTGATGGGTCTGAGAGTGACAGGCCTGAGGGCGGCGGACCTGAGAGTGATGGGCCTGAGAGTGACAGGCCTGAGGGCGGCGGACCTGAGAGTGATGGGCCTGAGAGTGAAGGGCCTGAAGGCAGGCCTGAGAGTGAAGGGCCTGAGAGCGGCGGGCCTGAGAGTGACAGAACTGAGGGTGGCGGACCTGAGAGTGATGGGCCTGAGAGTGACAGGCCTGAGAGTGACGGGCCTGAGAGTGAAGGGCCTGAGAGTGGCAGGCATGAGAGCGATGGGCCTGAGAGCGTCGGCCCTGAGAGCGATGGGCCTGAGAGTGAAGGGCCTGAGAGTGATGGGCCTGAGAGTGAAGGGCCTGTGAGTGATGGGCCTGAGAGTGACAGGCCTGAGAGTGATGGGCCTGAGAGTGAAGGGCCTGAAAGCGGCGGGCCTAAGAGTGACAGGCCTGAGGGCGGCGGACCTGAGAGTGATGGGCCTGAGAGTGACAGGCCTGAGGGCAGCGGATCTGAGAGTGATGGGCCTGAGAGTGACAGGCCTGAGGGCAACGGACCTGAGAGTGATGGGCCTGAGAGCGGCGGGCCTGAGAGTGGCAGGCCTGTGAGTGAAGGGCCTGAGAGCGGCAGGCCTGAGAGTGAAGGGCCTGAGAGTGATGGGCCTGAGAGTGAAGGGCCTGAGAGCAACGGGCCTGAGAGTGAAGGGCCTGAGAGTGACAGACCTGAGAGTGATGGGCC